GCCTTTGCAATAGACCTGTGTAAGGAGGAGGGTGGAGGGCAGGTAAGCACAGCTAAATCTGTGTCTCCGTAGTTTCAGAATTCAGCAGTTTATGCAGGTTGTAGTGTAGACATGATCCATGCTCTTCTCAGATGGCAGTCATAACACTTTACTTTTTCTAGATTCAAATACAGTGTTCTCCACAGACATTGAAGCATGGAGTTTTTTTCTTGAAGGTGATGTAAAGCCTACCATAAAACCTGGCTAGCACAGTCAATCCTAAGGAATCTTTAAAACTAACCTGTACTAGTAATTTGCTTGTTTTTAGAGGTATATTAATCAATAAATCACTGTGTAGTGTACTGTGGTGGTTATAATAATCTTTCCACCCCCCCCCCCCCCTTAAATGGTCCTTGCTTCTTTTCCATAGGTTGAACTTATTTCCAATGGTGTAAATATACCAGTCACTCCTCAGAATGTATATGAGTATGTCCGGGAATATGCAGAACACCGAATGTTGGTAGTAGCAGAACAGCCTCTACATGTAAGTCTTTGGTGGAATGTTTTTAAAAAGAAGAAAAAAACCCTTTAAGATTTCAGTTAGTTAATTATTTCCATTAGGTATTGCTAATCAGGTTTTTTTGAAGTCTTTTCAACTTGATTAAAAGTATTTAATTTCCTATTTTTTTCTTAATCGTATAGCTATTTATGGAGTACTGTGAAGGCCAAGTACTTTGAGCAATTTCTTTTTCTTAAAGAGTGAAAGATAATTTCTTTTATGATAGATCTCATTGGTTAAGTATATATGTTCATTTTTTGAGCTCAAATGGCATGTATGCTCTTGGAACTTTGGCTTTGTGTTTGGCAGCTACTTTGTTCTAATAATGTATCACATTTGATTTGCTTATACTTATAAACAAAGACAGAAAATAAAATTCAAAATATTTACATAAATCGCCTTGAACTTTTGATTTGCATCTTTGTTTTAAAAGGAAAAATCAGTTATGATACAGACAACTTTGTTCTTATATTGCTAGCCTGGCAGGAAACCTAAAAATTGGCTAGGAAACCATATTAAAATAATTTTCTTTTTGAAACCCCTCTAAAATAAAACTTAAGGAGTAATATATCTTTGTAGACAGTTAATGAAGGTCTAGTCTGTCGTATGATGCTACATGTAAACTTGGTCACTTGTACTGATTGGGGTTTCCTGCTGCACATCTGAGATAAGTGAGCAGACTGCCTCTGTGCAGTGAACACATTACCTCTGTACAGTTGAGGTCCAAAATTTTCACAGACAGAACATGTTCCTGGAATTAAGCTACTTGATTTCCATGTCTGTCTATATTAATAGTTTGACTCTTTTTTTTATTTTAAGAGTTGGAAACCATTACACCTGTATTCAACTTGGAATTTACTAAAGCAAATTTACTCATAATATTCCATTTTGAAAATGGAATTTCCAATCTTTTCAGGATATTACTTATTAATATAGAATATAAGTGTGTGTGTAACATTTTTAAAGCAGAGTTGGCATGTAGGTCTGAAGAAGAAAGGACATTCAAGATGCATTTTTGTTTTGAATTCTTATGAGATTCAGCACAGCTCAGCAAAATACCTGAACTTTTTAGCATTAGAGAGTGCATGTGCTTCTGCTCCTGGTGAAATATTAGCTCAAACCATTACTGCTTTCTTTTGCTGTAGTACATAGGGTTTAGCAGATTGGTGCAGTTCTTTGTTTCAGAAAATTTGCATCTCAGATGATAAAGCTTTGAAAGAAAAGAACAGCTCAGAGAATGAGTTTTGAGTTAATGGCAGATTTCACATGAAACTTTTCAGTAATGCATTTGAAGTCAGTCCTAAAGTTATATGTTTACAACATGCATCTTGTGGTTTTCACTTAAGGCAATGAGGAAGGGTCTCCTGGATGTACTTCCAAAGAATTCATTAGAAGATTTGACAGCAGAAGATTTCAGACTTTTGGTAAATGGCTGTGGTGAAGTAAATGTGCAAATGCTAATCAGCTTTACCTCTTTCAACGATGAGTCAGGTATGAAATAACTTACTGATAAATAGAGTTGTACGGATAACTTAACACCGTTTGTTCTGTGTGGAGTAGTTACCGGCATTAAACTACTTCTTCAAATTTGACATTAGTTAGTAAGTCAATGAAACTTGTAATAAAATTATTACTTTTTTTTTTTTTTTACAGTCCTTTGAAAATATTTACTGTCAATTAGGAGAGGGTGGGGAAAGCACATTTTCCAGCTTTGCTGTCACATGATGTTAAATAGAAGGATTGTATTATTGGTAGTATATCTTTCTTGTGAAAATTATGACCTAACTTCAGGACTATTAATGGGATGGATGCAAGTCTAATATTTCTTACATACTTTTTAAACTGCATTTAGCTGTAGTTAGGCTTTTTGGGAGGGAGAGGTGGGAGCTGTACTGAGGTATGTCAGAGTTAGCCTGGCATTCAAAGGTATGTGTATTAGCTTTGAAATTATTAGTGTCTCCAATATAAGGACTTTATGAATGTGCTTGTAGCTGAGATCAAACTTGCAGCACATGTAAAATGTATCTCTTAATGTTATTGTCCAGTGTACCAGCTGAATTGTGTATCTTTTTTATTTCACATAGGAGAAAATGCTGAGAAGCTTTTGCAATTCAAGCGTTGGTTTTGGTCCATAGTTGAGAAGATGAGTATGACAGAAAGACAAGATCTAGTAAGTTGCTCATTCCCAATGGAAACATGCAGGAAAATTGGAGTAACTGTGGCATCATTACTGTTTTTAACTGTAATTAGAGATTTTTTACAAGAAGAGTTAATATAGCAGAGCAGAGTAGTAGGGTTGGGTTAGACTGTCAGTCCTGGAAATGAGGTGTGAATCCTAAACCTTCTTGCAACTGGAAGTAAGCGTGGTGTGTCCTTATCCATAATTATTGGTCTCTTATGGAAGCACAGTTTTAGTCTGCACAGTTGTTCTTAAGCTGACTAACTGTGGTTACTCAACTGTGTTGTGGGCTAGTAGGGTTTTGAGGTTGAGTTCTCTTTATGGGTCATCTACTCATCTGACTTCTGTGTCTCCGAAGGGCAATATGTGTGTCCTCCCTGGAAGATGTCAGTAATGACACTATGTCCTTCTCAAAGGCCTCTGGGAAAAGGCTGATGAGAAGCATGAAAGAACAAGATACTGTTCAGGGAGCTTAATTTTTTAAAACTTGCCTGTAAATTGTATTAATTGTACGCTTCCTAAAACTGTTTGATTTTAACTTTCTGCTACTTAAAGTACTATCTCTCCCTTACAGTCTACTAAATAGGAACAAGGACTGCTCTGAAAACTGGAAACTCTAAAGCATATATTTTAAGGAGTATCTGGTTACTCTTTGGTGGTGACTCAGCTCTGCAAGTCACTATTTCACACTTGAGACAATAAACCAAATACTCCCTGTTGCCGCCTTTTGTCTGTACCGGTACTACATTCTGTAGTCACTAATTGGTTTGCAAGAGATTTCTGATACATTTTATATGGATGGCAGTCACCCCCTTCCCAGATGATTTGGGGAGATTTCATTTACTGAGGATTTGTTGATACAGGATAACGTTGAGTGCTGCTTTTATTAGTTTTAACAATGAGCAGTTGAGGAAGGAATGTGAAGGAAGCTACTACAGAAGCATGGAGCATGACTACGGAGTCTAGCTGGCATATTGAAGAGAATGTAGTGTGATCAAACTTGCTGTGACTGTGCAGTTCTTTTTTAACCTATTCCCTACGCAACATGTGGGCAGTATGAATTTCAGCCTTGTACAGCATAATTTTAAATGCCATCTTCTTTTTCCAGGTTTACTTTTGGACCTCAAGTCCATCATTGCCTGCCAGTGAGGAGGGATTCCAGCCTATGCCATCCATCACAATAAGGCCACCAGATGACCAACATCTTCCTACAGCAAACACTTGCATTTCTCGCCTTTATGTCCCACTCTATTCCTCTAAGCAGATTTTGAAACAAAAATTGTTACTCGCCATTAAGACCAAGAATTTTGGTTTTGTGTAGAGTATAAAAAGTGTGTATTGCTGTGTAATATTACTAGCTAAGTTTTGTAGATTTTTCCATTTGTCTATAAAAGTTTATGAAAGTTAATGCTGTCATACCCCTGGTGGTACTTTAAAGATTTAAATGCAAACATTCCTGTACTAAATTTGTAACGTAAAGGCCTAAGGAGCACTAGCAATTTGTGATTGCAACAGTTTGCTAGTCAATAACTCCTTTGCCTAACCCCAGCCAAAGATGACAGCAGAACAATATAATTTACACTGTGATTTATCTTTTTGCTGAGGGAAAATATGTAAAATGTTCTGAAAATTCACTGCTGCCTTTGTGGAAAGTGTTTCAGCAAAGGTTCTTGTATAGAGGGAGTAGGGAATTTCAAAATAAAAAATTAAGTATGTTCTGTGTTTTTAACTTTTTTTTTATGGTGTTTAATTTGTGGTTGGCTGCAGTTGTGTATCATGTATATTGAACTTGTAAAAAGTTCCTGACAGCTCAGATCCTAGAGTTGGGATCGTTCACTTATGAAACCACTTTCATTGCAATTTTTGTTCTATTGCATTGAACTCTGGTGCATCAGCTACCATCCCTAATATTTTGCATGTAACCTGTACCTTTAGTGTTTTTGGTTTTTTTTCCCCTGTACATAATATGATGAGGCCAATGCACAGTATTTCATAGTTCACAATCAAAATTTTTGTATCCTTGTTACAGTGAACAGACAGTCAGGAGATTGTTCCACTACCAGTTCTAACCCAACACTTGTACTCCGTTATCTAACTATGTAAACTCAGCCTGGGCACTTTCTGGTAACTGTAAAATGTTTATAAGATCATGATTATTGAAGATACATTTTTTTGGAAAACTTCAATGTTCGTGAGCCGCTTAACTTCTTTTGTATCTAGCCTTTTTTTAAGTATCTTGTTACAGTTTTTTAATAAAGAAATTACAGACAAAATACCAAGTCATACTGAGGAAACAATAGTTTTTATTTATTTAGCCATTTATACTTCAGCTAACAGCATACATTAAACATAGTTGTTCATTAAAAATCTGAATTTTGTAGCTGAAAAATTGACATGCAGAAGACATTCAGCCCACATTTTACAGTTAGCAGAGAATCCTGAAAGAAATGGGCCAGGCAACCCCTTCTTTTCACAGAATTGATTTGAAGGAAAAGTGGCTTGTTCTGAAAAATCTCAAGGTAATTAGGTTAGAATAAAATTCTCAAACCGCATTTTATGTTCACTTTTGAAGTGGTTGGTTGCTTTTGGGGAGGGCAGTCTTTGACCTATGACTTCTTTTCCCTAAGGCTTGAGAGATTTTTGAGAGATAGGAATTGATTAATAAAGGAGGAAGATACTTTTTCTGTGTCAAAACAAATTTCTGAAAGCTTAGCAGACTGAAGTATTGAAGGGGTAAGAGGTTTTGTGGTGCTGATGTTCTCCCTCTTTCTTGCTTTTCCAACCCCATGAGTCCATGTTAGTGGGTTTTTTTATTTCCTTTTGTTGGGAAGAGCTAAAATTATGTTCCATCAAAATCCGAGTTGAACTCACCTTTGCCAGAGCTCCAGTGGGTCTTCCTTTCTGTCAGCTAGTCTGAGGATGACCAGAAGTTACCTACATCTGATTTTCAAAAAAAGCCTCTGTTTTCATCATTTATTTAGTTGCTAGAGATATGGAGTACAGTACAACAGTCTCATCACCAGTTGCCAAATTGTTGCTAAAAATCCTGTTTTCTAAGTAAGGCTGTTTCGGGCTTGTGTAGTTAAACTGCAGATAAATTAAATAAATAGATGTAGAATTATTTCTGCAGGTACTAATACTTCCTCTAAATCAATCATCCTAGAAAAGGATAGTTTCAATATACGAGGATTGGAGGCTGTTCGAGATTTCCTGTTGTACCTTTCCAGTGTACCTTAAGTTCAAAACTTATCAGATTTTACTATGTTAGTATCAATTAAAAATAAAAAGCAGTACAGCCTCGCAAATCTAGATAGAGGTGTTTGGTATGGCTGCTCTTTAATACTAAGGAGAGTGAGTTACAAAGGTACAGAGCAACATACACCTTATGCCAGGATTTCAAACTGGTGTGATTACTTCTACTACCAAAATCGCCTCTAACTGAAATGTGTAAACTTAGTGGAAAGCAACAAAAGAAACTGTTTAGAATAGGCATCAAATCTACAGTCTGTAAAATAAAGCTCCCTCCCTCACAAAGCTTTGTGAGGCTTGATGTACTAAAAAGTATCCAATGCCCTTGGATGAAAGGCCATATATACATGTAAAGTACTGTGTATATATATATATGTATTGTGTGTATATGTATATAAGTGTATGTGTATGTATAACATATAAATATATGTTATATGTATATATATTTCTGTATATAGCTTAAACATTTTTTAAGTCCTGTAATGTATAGCTAGACAAAAGTTATGCAGATAGCACAGTAGCTCACCATATATACACACACAAGGCATTCTGATAAGCAGGGAGGGAATTTAGAATGATTTATGCTGTCATCATTGACTTGAAATGTGTATGTAGCTTTATAAATAGCTTTTTTTCCTCTGTATGGTATAAACTATATCAAGATTTTAATAAGAAAAATGTTTATTAAAATCATACACCTCCTTTCCCTTTGACTTAAGCCCTTCTGTTAGTTCACTTAAAATGTGGTAAAGAAACTAGCTAAAGGAAAATTTTGTAATGTTTAGACTTTTTTAATAGTCTAAATCCCCAGCTGTTCATAACTGCTGAAAGAGGAGATAAAGGTAGCTACTAATAAAATGTTATGCTCAACTACTAGAGTAGTTCCTAATCTGAATCTAGGGAAAACTGACACTGTAGTTCTAACTTCCATGGCTAATTCTTGGTGTTGGTTTCTGGTTTTAGCTGTATCCAATACAGAAGGTAATCGCTTGCTCCAGCTTTGATAATTTTCCAGGAGTGAAAAATTGTATAGACTTACTTGACATCATGTGGCCTTTCTCATCTGTTTGATTTGGGAGTGCCTTTTCTTCCTGCAAGTTAGTCATTTGGTCATTAGATAACTGGTAAACTGGTAAATTTGTGAATCCAAAGCAACACCCTTGTACAGCAGCATTCAGGGAAGCAGAGGAAAGGAAATTTCCCTCATCTCTTAAGCTATGTTTATCTTTGCAATTGTGCAAATTATAGAGACCTGCTGTTTTTCAAAAGCTTACTTCCACATGTGGATCTGAAGAGAAGTGTGTAGGGAGCAGGTAGTTGCTGTGCAGGTGGGAGAAGTTCCCCAGTCACCACTACCACCTCCCATGAGTTGGTTTCTCAGGGGAGCCCAAATTCAGCATGGCTCTTGGTCACTCTTAACACCACATGAAAGATTGTTCAGTAGGTTTGTAGTAACCTCCTCTTCAGATGCTCATTGCTGTGCCCTAACTCCCTTTTTATAGTGTCCTATGACCTGTGGACCATGTCTCTTGTGTGTGCATCTGTAAATGCCATTCTGAGCTGCTTCTGCGTTTGTACTCCTTGCTTCACTGACACTTGCATTTCTCTGGCTTCCACTCTGTAGGGCAAACTACAGATACCTTGCTCAGTAGCTCTGATTCCCTTTCTCTTTTCAAGCTTTCTAGGATTTGACCTTTTTTCTGAACTCCTCAGGTTGCCTATTTAATAACAGGTCTGCCAAAGTCAAATAGAAAATTCTGCAAGTTTGGATTAACTGCATTTCAGCACTTGTAGCATTAACTTACCCTGAGGTGGAATGAATGTCCACACGCATTTAAAATGGGTAGGTGAATGGGTCATGTGAAAGCTTCAGTGACTACAGTCCTTGAACTCACAGTGCTGGAAGTTCCCACATGGTCTGTGTGGGGAGGATGCCAACAGGCTTCACAGCTGGAATCTGGCCTCCATCACAGTGTAGTCCTTGCCTGACAGGACTTCTTAGCATCATCAGGAGCTCTGATGCATCCTTTTTGCTAGTTGGAAATTGCTTTCGTGGTTTTCATTTGCAGCTCTTTGAGTATCTTACTCAGCAGATTTGCTAAATTGAGAAGCATGAAGGGCTTTTAAATTTTTTATATCTCTTAAGGATTTTTTTGTGGAGTTGTCCACAAAAAAACCTTGAGGATGTCTTGCTTGAAACACAATCCTGTGAAAGACTATTTTCCCCCCTTTGCCAATGGCTTAATATAAAGGTGTTTTTTGTCTATTATCACCGTGAGTTACTATCATAGTAATAGACTTTAGTATAACAAGGCACTTGGTTGCTCCCAGGTGTTTCAGGACTGTTTTTCTATAATGGTGAAACTTTTCAGTATCCCTTTGTCCAGTGGCTGTGGCAGCTAACACAAATGCCTATGCTTGAATACTGTAGTCATGTGAACCTCCTGGAAAATAGCGTGTTGCCACAACCTAAGATAAGGTTTCTCCGCTAGGAGATTTAGGGGAATTTTATGCTTTAGACATACTGAAATTATTCAGAAATTGATTTTCCTACAGTAAACAGTACTAAGCTGAAAAGCAGATTTGACTCTAATTTGTAAATGAAAAATTTTCAGTTTGACTAAAATGGTATTTTCATATAAAAAAAAGAATTTTATAAACCATTTTTAAAAGGCAGCTAAGTATTCCCCAAAAAAGTAACAGTTTTTGGGGGAGGAAGGGAAGAGGCATTATAGTTAAAGCAGCAATTGGAATGCCTTAGATAAAATTTGGGGACTTGGCCTTTCTGTGAAAGTGCAAGCTTTGGGCATGCAAAGCTGTGCTAGTGAGCCTGTTAGGTCTGTGTCTGTCCAGTAGTGTCCTAACAATGTGTGCTGCTGCTGCACCTTCATTAATTGCAATTACCGGAGTGAGAGAGCTGTTGTGGAGCCGCAGGCCACCCTTGGGAGGGCCTGTTCTCATGGGTCTTCTTCCCTCCCTGCTGTGGAGTGTCCTGCACCTCCAAGAGTTGTGCCATGCTTTCTGCAGTGGACGTGGTCCTGTGGATCAGAGTCCCTCCCCATGCAGAAACACCTCCACAACTCCCAGCACATGTGCTTGTTGTGATCAGCGCAGGTACTGGGCCGTGAGGGCCGGGGCAGGACCACTGCCATGACACCTGGCATTTGGGAGCTAAGGAAGGACTACAGCTTCCATGCCCCCAGCAGGGAGCTTGTTCTAAACAGGGCATTGTAGGTACAGCTGAGTAATGTGGAATTTTGCAAAACTGAGCATAATGCAATATTGCATATGTATGTTTATTCGGCTTGTAAACTCTTCTATAGTTCCACAAGTGCTTTTCAGTGTTGTGTACGTGATTTAATTAATTTATATAAAACAAAACTAACAGAAGTTGGTGAATTTCTGTGGAGGTGCAAGAACAGCCAACTACTCTTTTGTTAATCCTTGAGGTACATTTCCTTTGCAGTATTTTTCCTTTGTATATGAATCTTCAGACACCATGTAAATAGACTTTTGCTGTGTGTTGGTAAAAGGGCAGGTGTGAGTTTAAGAAGTTATCTCCAAATAATTTAATTCCTATCTTTTGCTAATTGTATTAATTTGTGGTAGTGCTTAAACCTTGTTAGAACAGGACATTCCATCATTTGGGGAATTCTGAAACAGCAGCCAAGATAATCAGGTTAGGGGACAAAGACAACTGCCAGGCATGTTGATGTCATTTAATACGAATAGTCTGCCGCTTGTTGGTTTTGGCCCAGAAATTCACGCATCTCCCTCTTACCACCATCGTGCTCTATTACACACACCAGTAGACTTTGCCAGTGTAAATGAGTCAGGTTTGCTCTGCATCAGTGTCCCTCTAATTTTGTGCTCTGGACAAAAAGCTGAAATCTCTGGTATTCAATACACAAGTGGAGTGGTTTTGGATATGAAGATTAAACAACTTGTACAGGTATCTCTGGGTAATAAAACTTAAAGGCTGTCTCAGAAAGAGCAGTACTCAGGTAACAGCGGATGTTGTTAGTGTGAAACCACCTTTTCTCATTTACTGTTTCTGTGTTCTGGTGCGCTCTTTAGTAACTTGCTGCTTAGGCAGGTGTTTCTGCACCTCAGAAAACTCCCATGTAAGAAAACCAGAGCTGTTCTCATGCTTACTCAGGTGTGCTGCACAGATTTCACCACTTTTCTTATCTCCTGCCCTGGTGAGGCTTGACTTTCTCTCACAAGGCATAAAAAAGCTGTAGGAAGCAGATGCAGTCCAGAGGAGCCCAGCTGGCCCAACTCCCACTTCCCATGCTTGGGAAGGGAGAAAGGGGAGGCCTCAGTCACTGTGGCAGCCAGGTGTCCTTAAAAAAAAAAACAAAAAAACCCAAAAAAAACCAAAAAACAAACCAAACCAAATTCCTAATGACAGAGAACTAACAAAACCAAAGGTTACCTTTCCAGAGAGGGACACCAGAATCCCTTGAAGTCCCTACCTGTGCACCGTGTCCTTTCCCTGGCTGCAGGGGGGCTGAGGATGTTTGGCCCGCACTTGGACTGGGGAGCACTGGGCAGCAGTCACAGGGAGGGTGAACAGTCTTTACGGACTCATTTCCACTGAGGATCACCAGGCTTCCATGTCTTCCTTCTCCTCCTCTTCAAGGGACCACACTCGGCTCCAGAGGACTGGCCTCCAAAGAGTGGGTCAGTCCTGCTTACGTGCTGCCGGTCTTGATGCTGAAAACCTTTTAGTTCTCACTGGCGTTTGTTTTTAGATTTGCATCTTTGATTTCAGGTCTCTGTGACAAACTGCTGTATCCATTCGGTGGGGCCTTTCTTCTCTCCTATAGGACTGGTTATTTTGGTACAGGACTCACATGTCTACAGAAAAGGTGCCCGAGGGCCTGGCCACCTTCGGGATGAGGAGGGAAAGAGGAAACTAGGGAACTCTGATGGTTCCCAGCTCTGGATGAGATCTCTCAGCTTGCAAGAAGGGACAGAAACAAATATTAATCATACGCACGCTCACAGGCCCTTCACAAGCTGCCTGTGTGTTACGCAGTTACCGAGCCGTCCCCGGGGGCGGAGCGGCCGCGGCCATTCCCCTTCCACCGCCCCTTGTGGTGCAGTCCCGCCGGCCATGGGCGAGTGCCGAGGGCCGGCGGCGCTGCGGGAACCGGCGGGGCCGGAGCAGGTAAGGCCGGGCCGGGCCGTGAGCGGGGCCGCGGGCGGGCGGGGGCTCCGGGAGCGGCGGCAGCGCCGCTCGGCCCGACCCGGCCTGGCCGGGCCCGCGGCCTCCCGCACCGCCGGGCGCTGCGCTGCCTCCCGCAGGGGAGGGCCGGGCCGGGCCGCCCCGGGGGGACCCAGGGCACTCCCGCCCACCCGGGCGATCTGCTGGCACGGACAGCCCTGGAAGGGGCACGGGGCCGCCCCTACGCCCTTGTCCCGCCCGGGCTCGGCAGGGCCGGAGCCTTCGGGCACCTCGCTGGCGGCGCCTGCGGGGGATGCGGACCGCTAGCCGGGATCGGGAGCAGGGAGCGCTGGCAGCACCTGCGGGGGATGCGGACCTGCCCCGGAAGGCCACGGGATTCTCGGCACAGGACGGGGCAACGCCGGTCCTGCCGCCCCGGAGCGTCTGGGCTTGCAGAGCTGCGCCTGCCGGGAGCCGGGAAGGCAGAGCTCGCCCCCTCTGCCCTGAGCTGCCACGGCGGCAGGTGTGGATGTTGGTGGCGGACCTGGCTTCCCAGGCCCTGTGTACCAGGAGGGTCTGCCCCTGGGAGGTGTCTCAGCTCCGTTCTGGTGTCTCCCAGCATAACCGTGCTAAGCCGGGCCGGGGTGTGCGAGGGTCAAGGGAAACCGTGTGGTCTTTCTGAAACCCTTGTGTCTCATCAGTACCCATTTCCAAAAACAGGTGTGCCATGTTAAATACAAGCCTAAGAAGCCCCTTAATGTTTCCCCCTGAACAGTGACATGCTGTACCCACAGTGGAGAGGCACATGGCAGTCAGTCCTGTGCATGCCCTTGGATGTGTGGAACCAGCGGGTGTTGTGCTCCTCAGAGGCTGTACAGCGCAAGCCGTCTCTCCCAGGAATGCTGGTGGTCTTCCCAGTCTCCCTGCTAGCATGGCTTGCACTGCCTACAGCTAGCCTGAATGCTTTGGGAGCTCATGGGATGCATGTGCAGCCTCTTACTAGGGTTCATAGTATGTGCCACATTTACAGTGCTGGCTCTGCCAGCACCTTTAGCTTTTTCCCTGGCTACAGCTGATACGCAGCATGTAACTGTGATACTTGCACATGTAGCCCAACAGCTCTTGCTGTGGGGTGATGGTTGTATGTTTGTAAATATGTTAATTATTTCCTAGTTTGCTGATTCTGAAATTAATGGAAGAAATTTTGGTACCACTAAGCAGTCTTTGTTGTCCATTTGCTTTATTGTCATCAGCAGAAGAGTTGTTTCTAGCAGTTGCAGAATAAGTGGGATATGACGTATTGGAGTGTGTCCAGCAAAGAGCTGATGATTAAGAGACTGCAGCATCTGTCATATGAAGAAAGTCTGTGAGTGCTTGGTCTGTTCAGCCTGGAGAAGAAAAGACTCCAGAGGCTCTTGTGAGTGTGTAAATAGCTGATGGAGGGAATAAAGGAAACAGAGCCAGGTGCTTCTCAGTGGTGTCCCATGATGGGACTAGGGGCATCGGTCACACACTGAAACACAGGAGGTTCCATTTCCATGTAAGAAAAGAGTTGTTTATTCTGAAGGGGGAGATAGTGAAACCTCATCTGGATGTGGTCCTGAGCAATGTGCTGTGGCTGATCCTGCTAGAGCGTGGGTTGGCCTGTGCCCACCAGCTTCAGCTCTTTTATGTGTTTGAGTCACATTGTCTGAACAGGGTGAAGCACATACACATAATAAACTGGATACCCTTTGTTACTGTGGTAAGTGTTGACTGTTTTATGTGCCATCATAGGATTAAGTAAAAGATCTGGGGTGCAGATTGAGGGCAGTGTTGACCTAGTGACTATTACTTTCTCCTGCTCCTCATACCCCTGCCAGTGCCCTGTGGAGCCAGGAAGGCAGGGCTGGGAAACCATTGTGCTCCTTCAGCACGAGGTGGTGGCTGCTCAGAATTCCCAGCAGTGACCAGAATGTGCAATGCATCTGAAATCGAGTTAGAGAAGATCTTCCGTGAATTTTCAGCTGAGTTGTGCCAAGACATGTTGGTACATGCCTGTGTTAACAAACAGGCTAGGTAACGAGTATTACTCTGGTAAAACTTTTGCTGAGAGGAATGGAAACCAAAATGGAGAGAGATGGGACTGTCCTGTAACTGGCAGCCTGCCAACTTGGAACCTGCCTGTGAAACTCCTCTCCACCCCGGAAGGGGATAGTGGAGGTCAGATGTAGGTTGAGTGAGAGGTTTCAGTATGGTGTAGTTTCTGTGGCTGATCCGTCCTTTTTCAAAATTAAAAGCCCAAAACAACCAAAACCATGTAATTAAAAAAATTTTTTTATACAGTTTGTAAAACTACAGACCAGTCAGCCTGATCTGAATCCCTGGAAAGGTGATGGAATCTTCAGGCCACCTCTAAGCACGTGGAAGACAGTTACCATGAGCAGTCAGCGGGAATTCACAATGGAAATCAAGCTTAACCAACCTGAATGCTTTCTATGATGGGACAAGTGGCTGTATAGACAAGAGAGCATTGGATTTTGTCTGCCTAGACTTCAGTGAGGCTTTTGACAGTGTCTCCCGTGATATCCTCATAGGCAAGCTCAGGAAGCGTGAGCTGGATGAGTGGATAGTGAGGTGCCATTGAGCACTGGCTGAATGGCAGAACTTGAAGGGTTGTGATCAGTGGCACAGGGTCGGAGGCCTATAATTAGTAGTGTCTCCCAAGGGTTGATACTGGGCCCGGTATTGTTTGACTTATTCATCAATGACTTGCATGAAGGGGCAGATGCCTCCCCAGCAAGTTCATTGACATCACATGACTGAGAGGAGTGGCTGACACCCCAGAGGGCTGTGCAGTCCTTCAGAAGGACCTCGACAGGCTGGAGAGATGGGCAGAGCAGAACTATCTGAAATTCAACAAAGGCAAGCGCTGGGTCCTGCAACTGGGGAGAAATAACCCCCTTCACCAGTACAGGCTGGGGCCACTGTGGAGGAGGATCTGGGGGTCCTGGTGGACCACTGCTGTCTATGAGCCAGCAGTGGCTGGGCTAACAAGGAAGACTTTTGCAGCGTTTCCATTTTTAAGGATGATGATAGATGCAGAAGCAGATTGAGATGTTGGCTGCCTGGCAGGCCCTGAGAAGGTGTGTGCTAAGACAAGATGCCATCCCCGCTGAGCCCAAATTCTTCCAGTGGGTTACTGAAATCATCTCTGTGTCCTGGGAAATACAAAAGGTCTTGCACTCTCATGGTCTTCAGCAGAGACTTGGCAAGATGATGCTGGGAAATTTGTCTCATGTAGTTGAATAATACTTAAAAATATAATAAAGTGGTAAAATTGTAACCCAGAATATGCTTCCTGATATGTTTTCTTTGGGAATCTGTGGTGCCTATGCCAGTTTTGCAATGTGTGTTTGGGTTTTATTTATTTTCTTAAAATGTAAGTAGCTGTGTAAATAAAAAAAATGTAAGTAGAGTATTTTCCAAGTTGAACTACAGGATTACTTTTTATTATGTGAGTTGTTACAAGCAGATGGGTAGGGAAAGGACTTTGGCACCTCCTAGGGGGGTAGTAACAATGGTATTCAAAACCTTTAGCTGCCCTTTCCTGCTGTATTATGTGTAATGCTTCATATACTGCCTGTGGTTGGTTATCCTCTACAGCAGTGTCAGTGGGATCTTGGAACTGACCCTGATAGGCATCCTGCTGGCTAAACTTCTGATCAGTCACCAGCCCTTCTGGAGAGGTTGCAGTATGCTGTCCTGACAGCTCTTCACAATTGTTGTCTTCAGTAGGTGCTTGCTGATGTGCCTGGTTGAATGCTGCCTGGAATTGGTCCTGGCAGTCCTCAGCAGGAGGTGAGGTGAAGGCCCTGCTCATAGAGTGCCCTCTCTGTGCTGCCTTTCACTGGCCTGCCTCCTAAATGTCAGCTGTCCCCACTTTGGCCAGGCTGGGAGCTCTCTGAGGAAGAGCTGTGCTCATGTGTTCTCTGGGAGCCCACAGAAGGATCAGGGTGGAGATGAGTGACTCCAGGCAGAGGTTTTCCTGCTACCAGCTGTTGGAAAGAGAGTCACATAGCTGCATATTGGCCCTTGAGGGAGAGCCTCCAGAGCAGCCTACAGTGGTGTGCGGGCTGCCCTCTGCACACTACAGGGTTGCATACACGAACCTCCATGCTGAGACTCGCCGTGGCACAGGGCTGTCCTCTATCAGTTGGGATTAGTTTCTGTGATCTCATGGCATTTTTAAGCAAGTCCATCCAGGCCCCAGTGGCTCAGCATAAAGCAGATGTCTGTGGGGTACCCTGGGCGATGAGCCTGGTGGAGCTGTGCTGGCTGTGGGCTGCAGCTCTGAGCGGTGACCTCACACATGTGTGAGTACCACTGCAGCTGATGTTGTCTCCCAGGGCAGATTTCCTCCTCGTGTTGCAGAAAGGCTTTGTCTTTGGCACACAGGTGTCAGGCACTTCCTGGCACAGGCACAGCTGGGAGAGGGTGTTTGGTGTGAGCTGTGCTGGAAGGAGCTGGTGGAGAGGCAGTGCTGCTGCCCCAGGAGCACAGATGGAGGGCAAGGGGGCAGGTACCCCAGGGACAGGGCAGGTGAGTGTCTGTGTGACACGGGTGGCCTTTGAACCACACCTTTGGGATGTGGGGAAGAAGAGGAATAGGTCATGGTAACTTTAACCAGAACTGTGCTTTATTTTCAGAGCTCCCCACCGAGTGCTGCTGAAAATGGCTTGGACCTTGATGAGGAGCCTCTTCTCAGGAAGAATCACCGCCGCTTTGTCATCTTCCCCATCCAGTACCCAGACATATGGAAGATGTATAAGCAGGCTCAGGCCTCCTTTTGGACAGCAGAAGAGGTGATCCCTGGGGCCAGTGGGTTGGCACAAGGCACTCAGACCAGTGGTGTTCTGGTGCTCCTTTCCCAGCTCTGCCGCTGGCTTCTGTGTTGTAAGGATTGGAGTTAATGGCATAGAACAAGGGATGCCAGCACCAAAACAGAACTCCCTTCATGGACAGTGGAAAGCAAGCTGCTTCCACAGGGCAATTCAGCAGAGCTGATTTAGGTGTTTGGTTTAAGATGAGGTGGAGTTGTATCCTGGGTTGCTCCTCTGGTTATAGAGTGACTCTAAGCTGGATAGCTCTGAACTGTGGTCACATAGCTCCTACCCTGCTGTGATGTCTGAGCCTGCAACTAACTCCTTGCCCTGTAAGATGTTCTGGGCAATTTCAGGTGAATTCTGGTTTTTAATGTTAGGCACCTAATTTCCAGGAACACTGTGTTAATCAGAGACACTTGCTAAAAATGCTTCTAAGTGACTCCTGATTGTTCTGGTGAGATGCTTGCCCTGTGTTACAATGCCAGCTGTAAGTTCTTCCCTGAGGCTGCTGGTTAGCCAGACCTGAGCAGTACTTGGTTTGCTGTCCTTGCAGCAGTGGAGACTTCTGAACACTGCTTTGCTTTGGAGAGATTATCTGCAAGGGGAGCTGCTTGTTCCAACTCTAAGCTTATGCAGCCTTTGCTCGTTTGTGAGCAGTGATCTGCAACTGCAGAGAAGTGAAGTGAAAGGCTCTAAATAGACCAGAAAGTGTCCTGGGATGATGAGGAACAGTGGTTCATAGAGGTACTATTCCATTGCCTGCCTGGAAGGCTTGCTGCCCTGTTGCAGCAAACGTTGATTTAAAGCATTAAAGAAAAGGCATTTGAACTCCTGCCTTGTCAGCATTTCCCTTTTACTATGTTACTGGTTCCTTCTTACACTGTCCTACCATCTGTGAGTGCATTTCCAAACGAACTGGAAAGTTAACTGTAAAACTGGTTTGTATGTGTTTTTAGACACATGTATAAGTGTACATGTTTATATTCATACATGTGTACATATATATATAAGTTTTTAGGCCTCTGTATTTTTCACACCTGGCCCTACTTAACTGTTCCTGTGGTTCAGAAATCCCTCAAACAAACAAACAAACAAAAAAGACCCATGGGAAGGAAGCTGTGGTTTTCTGCTATGTCTAGAGTTTGGTCTGGTAGACAAGAGCAGTTGCACAGCATTTGCTCCATGCCGTTCTTCAACAGGATGGAGGCTGAACACCTGCCAAAGGCAAAAGTCCCCTCAGGCCATCTTTTGGCACACTTGGGTATAGCTTGCTTGGAGTATCAGCATTTATTTCAAGTAAAGTTTAAATACCTCAGAGTGAGCTCTGCTTATTGGTGCATGTTCATACTCATGACAAAAAGATAGTAATATTTTTCAAAATCTGATTTATTTATTTAATAGACACTGATTTTTATTCCATGTTACAAAAGTACAAGCTGTGAAACAAGCACATGATATTACTGTTGCAGAGTGAGGCAGCAGTACTTCAGTGTACCTGTTGTCTTTTACAGTTACATGTATTTAAATTCTCTGCATGTAAAGATTTGAGAGCAAATGCCAAACCTCTGCCTCGGTCATTTGACTGGGCTGCTTCTGTTCTTACAGAATGACAAACTCAGAAGTCCAATAATGTTTTTCTTTTTTTTTTTCATTAGGTTGATTTGTCAAAGGACCTTCCTCACTGGAACAAGCTCAAAGCAGATGAAAAATACTTTATCTCTCATGTTCTGGCATTTTTTGCAGCCAGTGATGGAATTGTAAATGAAAACCTGGTGAGAAAGATTTACAGAGGGATTGAATGCTTACTCATTTTATTGGCAAATTGACTTTTCATTTTAGCTTTCTCACATTAATGCATAGCTTTATTAGATGTGTACTTTTTTTCCTTTCCGCATCACCTTTGCCAAGGGGAACAAGCAGCTTGTTCTTCTGGGAGCAGTATTTGATTTAAATTGAGTCAACTGGGGTCATCAGGACTCCAAATCACATTACTCTGGGTACTGTTTTTAAGTTCAGCCCCTGCTTGTCTGTGTTGATGCACATTTCTGAATGACTTAATAGAACCCCACATTTCTTCCTGTACTCATGTTAAATGGGAAGTAGTGAATACAGACCATGGCTGTGCCATGATCTGTATGGCCCATTTTGGTAAAATCCATTTTGCTCTCACTGAATGGCATCCTAGGACCTTTCAGGGCTGCAGGTGAGTGCTGTTAGAAAGGTGGGGAAATCTTTCTGCTGCAGTCTGTTCTGGGCTGGAGAATATCTCACCACAGGTTAGCAGTGGTATCTGTCTGCAAATGCCCAGTTTAAATCTCGAATGTTTATAATGTGTAGAATATACGTGCACATATTGCACGAACATGTCTTATGTCATATTGTTTATTTTTTTAAAGACCAACAAAAGGTCTGAGGCTTTGTTCAGTATGAAATGTTTAGCATTGCAATATTTTGCTATTCTACTCCTGTATATGTATGCTCTCATGCTTCAGCTTTCTATCCAATATATGTAAGAGATGTATTTACTTCTAGCTAGCTTGCTTTATTCTCCTCTGCACTACACCTGTGCTATTGACATACCTCTGAACAAAGTAGGACTGAACTGCTCCCATCTTGTCTTTGTGGCAGAGATCTTTTGTCTCTCCTTAAGCTCAGAGTAGTGTCATGCAGGACTGTTTTACTGTACTCATTGTCATGTTTCTGGTTTTGATAGGTGGCACGCTTTAGTCAGGAGGTGCAGATCCCAGAAGCTCGTTGTTTCTATGGCTTTCAGATTCTCATTGAGAATGTTCACTCAGAGATGTACAGCTTGCTCATAGACACCTACATCAAAGACCCCAAGAAAAGGTAAACCTCTGGATGTGTTAGAGACCCATGGGAAATCTGTCACTTAGGCCAGTGGCACCGTATGTGGGCAGCAGCATCTGTCTCCTGTTTCATACTGACTTACTGGGGGAGTTGGGGAAGGTTCCTTAAAGTTTTCAAGACCTGCATGCCTGACCCCCAAAATATAGAGGAGAATTACTGACCGAAAGAGTTATGTGAGAGTGTCACAAGGTTAGTTAATATTTGTATAAATCTTTGCAAGAATTGCAGACTCTGTGAAATGTTGTTAAAAGTTAGACAAACTCCTAATGGTTATTATGCTGCTGTGGTTCTTGCTCTCATATCAGCAAAGGATTAGCCTGAGGAAATTGAGTGCTCATGATTCAGCTGGTGTTTGTAATATACTGTGATCAATATATTGCATCTTTGTGACATTGCTTATTTTTGAAGGATTGGGTTCTTCGGAGAGCCCAATCACCTTTGTTGTCTGAAGAACTTGCTAGTCCAAACAGTAATACATTTGAAAAGTACCACTTTCCCTCAGAGACTCCACCATGGTGATGGTCAGCCAGAGCTTGGTTTTCCATGGTGGCATCCTGTGTGGTGACAGTGGGAGAACTGTAAAGTTTCCCTTCATCGTGGGAACAGAGTCTGTGGGAATCCAGTTCCTTTTGTTAAGCTGGGCAAAACGAGGTTTTGCTCAGCGGGTAGGCTTGAAGTGACTGGCTTCAAGTCTGAGAGGCAGTGTGGTATGGTGGGTGAGCACTCCTGGGATGGGTTTGAGTTCCCTTCCCCTCTCTGCATCTCACCTCCTCTGAGCCCTTGGGTTTGTTGCTTTCTGCATGTCTCCCTCTCTCTGCCCTTGCTGTCAGAGATCATGTCGTGATTTAACCTGTCAGGCAGCTAAACACCACACAGCTATCACCACACTGCCTGCCCTCACCCAGTGGTATGGGGAGAGAATTGAGGGAAAAGCTAAAATTCATGGTTTGAGATAAAGGCAGTTCAATAGGACAGAAAAGTAAAATAATAATAATGTACAAAACAAGTGATGCACAATGCAGTTGTTCATCACCTGCCGACTGATACCCAGCCAATTCCCAAACAGCAGCTCCCAGCCAGCTTTCCTCTTAGTTCATGTTCTGAGCTTGACATCGTATGGTATGGAATATCCCTCTGGCCAGTTGGGGTCAGCTGTCCTGGCTGTGTCCCTGCCCAGCTTCTTATGCCCCCCAACCTACTTGCTGGTGGGGTGGTGTTGGAAGCTGTAAAGTCCTTGGCTTAGTGTAAACACTGCTTAGCAACAACTAAAACATCAGTGTGTTATCAACATTATTCTCATCCTAAATCCAAAACAGAGCACTGTACCAGCAACTAGGAAGAGAATTAACTCTATCCTAGCCAAATGCAGGACAGATCATCACTCCTTTGGGGTGGGAATAATCTCTTAACTTGGGTTAGTTCAGAGCCTTGCATAATGGGATCCTCTGTCTGGTTGAGCCAGAAGGGACAACCAGGGCAGATTTGCATAAATCACTGTTTTGATGTTTTGCCTCTATTTTCTTCTGTAGGGATTTCTTATTTAATGCTATTGAAACAATGCCCTGTATCAAGAAGAAAGCAGACTGGGCTCTGAAGTGGATTGAAGACCGAGAATCCACTTTTGGTGTGTAGCTTCTTAAAAACTTTTTTCCGTTGCATATTGCAAACTAATCCTCTGTGAGTAAGCTGCACCCTTGGAACATGAAATGAAGTTCTCCACAGATGTAGTGGTTTCTGGGTCTCTGGTTTAACTAAAGAACTAGAAGGAACTTCTAGTGAACATGTATGTTTTTATCTTCAGCTAATGAAATATAGTAGTGGCAGTACCCCCTGAAATTGTGTTATGAAAAATGCTTATGGAATTCTCTGTCTTTTTTTTTTTTTTTTCTTTGTACCAAACAACCCTGGTTTCTTCAGTTTTTCCTTGTAGACCTTATTTTTTAGTTTTGATTATTTCTTCCACTTGGCTCCAATTTTGTACTCCAGTGTTCAGAACTGGGCAGCTGAGGTCCAGGCATTTTCTGTGTTCTATGTTCATTCCACATAGACAAATCCATGGGGTTTTTTTTGTAACTGAGGCTGGACAAAAAGACTGAAGAACCATCTGTCGCTGGTGTTTCTGGTTTGCTATTGGAACCAGGTTTCTAATTTTTGTATCTCATTTCAGAGCTGTGACACTGGCTCAGCTTCCATCAGCACAATACAGGGCATCCTTTCCAGTGTTCTGCATTCAGCTTACAAGGTCGACTCTGAAGGGCGGGCTGTAGCTGAAATGCATAATGGGTGGACTGGTGAATTTTTTAAACCAAACATCCTCTATATTTCAAGAAAGTATAGGAGATGGAGAGATTCAGCCTGACAAGCAAAACAAATCTGAATATCATTCTTTTGCAGCATCTGTTGTTCACACTGTTGCTTGAGTGGGGTTCTTTTTTGTTGCTGTACACTGTCCTGTCCTGGAGTGTCCCACTCCTTCCTCAGTCTGGCTTTGCTTGCTGTGTGTGGAGCCCCTTCATCATCTCCTTCATTTGGCTCCCAGCAGTGTGGGGTGTGCCAGGAATCAGAACATTCCCTAACTCAAAAAACTACACTCCCCCTGCTCCCTGCCCCCAAACTTTGTGCATTTCATCCACACTCATACTCAGTCTCGTGCGTCATTAAACTGTATTGTATGAGCAGCCTTTCTCCACTTCTCTACAGAAGTAAACTGGGAGATTTTTGGTGTTGCCGGAAAAATTCTTTCCGTAATTACTTCTGTGATAGTTTTGTGTTGCTCTCCATGCTTTTTTCCTAACTTTCTTCAGATGAGCCAGTAGTTGGCATATGTATCTCATAGAGGAAGTGGGACGTCTGGCTATTTTGCAGTTATTTTCTTTTTTAAACAAAATTCTGTGCAGTTCTCACTGGGAAAAGGCACCAGCACTTAGTGCAAAAGCCCTTCATGTTAGAATATACCCAAGGATCTTGTGAAGTTTTTTAAAGTAGTGTACATGGAATGGTGTGTCTTTAAGCAGTCAGATGGTCTTGTAGTCTGAAGAAACACACACCTGTAGAGAACAGAGAGAACTGGAACCAATAATGCTATGCTTTCCTTGGATAAAAGGTGGGATAACATAAATAGTTTTTTGTGTCTTGATGAATTATGTTCTGTCTTCTACTCTTGTAAGAATATGGTTTTATCTAGATTCTCAACAAGCAGAAGGTGTAAGGTTTTTTGTTTAATTTATAGGAGATTGGGTCTTGTCTCGGTTTGTCTGTCGTTACACAGCCGTTTTCCTGCCTTTTAGGAGAAAGAGATAATGGAGTACTAATGTCTTGGCCACAATTATGTTCTTTCACTTCTGACCCACAGCAGTTTCAGTGGGTGCCCTCGTTCTTCATTTCTGCTGGGGTTGCCTGTGGTTGAGTGCTGTTGGGTTTGTAGACCCTGTATGCCTCGGGATCTGCTGAAGGATGTGCTCACAAACAGCACCTAGTGCTGCAAAGGGGATTGTTCCTCTCTGGCATTAGTCTGTCTGAGGGTGTATGTTGCTGATGAGCAATACAGTAGTTTGTGTCTAACAAAAAACGTGTTATGTTAAACAGGTGAGAGAGTGGTTGCCTTTGCTGCAGTGGAAGGCATCTTCTTTTCGGGTTCCTTTGCTGCTATATTTTGGCTGAAGAAGAGGGGCCTGATGCCTGGACTGACTTTCTCCAATGAACTTATTAGCAGAGATGAGGTAATGTGGCGTGTCCTACATACTGTTTGGGAAAAGTGAGTTTCCAGGGGAAGGGCAGGATTATATTCATGAAGAATGCATAGTGTTGACAGAGAAAGGGGAAAGAAGCAGACTTCTAGCTATAATTATAGGATCATAAAATCATTTAGGTTGGGAAAAACCTCTAAGATTGCTGAGTCCAACTGTTAACACTGCCAAGTTCACCTCTAAACCATGTCCCTAAGTGCCACATCCACATGTCTTTTAAATACCTCCAGGGATGGTGACTCAACCACTTCCCTGGACAGCCTGTTCCAATTCTTGACAGCAATTTCCATGAAGTTGTTTTGATCTAACATCCTGTCTGATGGAACTTGGGGCCATTTCCTCTTGTTCTGTTGCTTGTTACCTGGGAGGAGAGGCTGACCCTCACCTGGCTACAACCTCCTTTCAGGTAGTTGTAGAGAGCAGTAAGGTCACCCCTGAGCCTCCTTTCTCCAGGCTGAACACCCCCAGCTCCCTCAGCCACTCCTCATCAGACTTTTGCTCCAGACCCTTCACCAGGTTTGTTGCCTTTCCCTGGACATACTCCAGCACCTCAATGTCCTCCTTGTAGTGAGAGGCCCAAAACTGAGCACAGGATTCAATGTACAACCTCACCAGTGCTGAGTACAGGGGGACAATCACTGCCTGGTCCTGCTGGCCACACTGTTTCTGACACAGGCCAGGATGCCATTGGCCTTCTTGGTCAACTGGGCACTCTGCTGCTTCCTGTTCAGCCACACTGAACCAGCACCCCCAGGTCCTTTTCCACCAGACCGCTTTCCAACCACTCTTCCCCAAGTCTGTAGCATTGCATGGGCTTGTTGTGACCCAAGTGCAGGACCCAGCACTTGGCCTTATTGATCCTCATGCAGTTGGTCTCAGTCCATTGATTCAGCCTGTCCATATCCCTCTACCTTCCTACCCTCCAGCAGATCAACACTCCCACCAAACTTGGTGTCTTCTGCAAACTGACTGAGGGTGCACTCGATCCCCTTTACCAGATTATGGATAAAGATGTTAAACAGGACTGGCCATTGGGGCCAGTAACATATATATAGCATATATAACATAACATAACATAACTGAGCCCTGGGGAATACCACCAGCTGGGTTTAACTCCATTCACCACCACTTTTTTGGCCTGGCCATCCATCACTCCCTTCCCCCACTGTTAAGATCGGGGAGAGAATCAGAAGGGTAAAAGCTGGAAAACTTGTGGGTTGAGATGAAGAGAGTTTAACAGGGAAAGCAAAAGCTGTGCACACAAGGAAAGCAAAACAAGGAATTAATTCCCTTTTTCCCATTTGCAGGCAGGTGTTCAGGCACCTCCAGGAGAGCAGGGTCCCCTCACGTGTAACGGTTACACATTGGAGGACTAACGCCATCACGCCAAATGTCCCCCTGCCCCCCCTTCTTCCTTTTTCCACCCACTTTGTATACTGGGTATGATGTCACATGGTATGGAATATCCCTTTGGTCAGTTTGGGTCACCTGTCCCAGCTGTGTCTCCTTCCAACCTCCCATGCACCCCCAACGTCCTTACTAGTGTGGCAGTACAGAAAGCAGAAAAGGCCTTGGCTCTGTAAGCACTGCTCAGCAATAACAAAAGCATCTCTGTATTATCTTAGAGATACATACCAGCCACTGTGAATAAAAACAAACTCTATCACAGCCAAACCCAGCACACTAATGCATATAGTATTATCAAAAAGGTGAACTTTTTAGATTGAAGGGGATGTTTGTTTTCCTCTACTGTGAAGGGAGGCAAAGGCCTGGCTGCTCAAGGACTGGGGTGGAATTGCATGGTCCCCAACTGTAGTGGGTGCTGGCTGAAGCAAGAACCTGGCTAGTGTGTGACTCTGAGCCTTCAGGCAAGTTCAAATGGTCTCCTTGTACCACTCCCCACTTGCTCGTACTTGTGGGTTCTGACGGTTGCAGACAGCCACCTGCCTCTGTCACTAGGCCAGCTGTGGCAGGTCGCTGCAGAAGCAGCAGATACTGACCCTCTCCATGTTCTTGTGTTGCTGCACAGCAATAGAATCTCCTGGGAAGGGGCAGCTACTGATCTGCCTTAGAGGGGAGTGCTTCTTAGCTTAAGATGTGAGGGGTCTGAGGGGCTGCGTGTGATCACACCAAACATGACAAGCCGTGTGCTGACAAGTGCCCCTTTCTTTCTCTGCTTCCTGCCAGTTGGCAGCTGTTGCTTGTGGTTGAGGCTTGTGCACCACACTACTTACATTGCTGTCAGCACTGAAAAAGTGGAAAGACCAGTTTTGTATGCAGTATAAGCATTGTAGTGGTTGTAACTTAAAAGAGTTGGTCTAAAAGAGTAAAGAGTTTTATCATAATGGAAGTAATTTTCATGGGTTAGATAAACTGATTTGAAAGGAGACATCTTACAGTATGTCTTTAAAAGACACTTGAAGAAAGTGATATGATCAGTAAGTAAAACCAAACAGTTCTCCAACCTTGACCTTCCTTGAGTTATTATGAACTGATCCATTTGAGTGAGGAAAGACTTGTTTGTTAGAAGGATCACTTACAGGTGAATGAGTGTAACTGTTCTTCTCTGCAGAGTTGAGCACCAAAAGACTGAATTTTTCTTGGGCTCCGCTGGCATAATTCCAACTGCAGTGCTGTTATGAAGGGCAAGGCTTGGTGCACACAGCACCTGCGCCAAAAACCAGGAAATGCTGTTACAAAAGCAATAACAGTAAAAAGAATCCACAGTGGAAAGCTGCACAAACTGGTTTTTGATGCACCTGAACAGATAAATGATTAACACTCAGTATGTTTTTTGAGCTGGAGGCTCTGTTCCCAGGCTGTTCTTGAGCTGGTGCATCTCTGATTCTGAAAGGTGCAAAGCTGGTGGGAACACCAGTCAGCAGAGCACACTGGTTCATCGGAGAAGCCAGGCATATCCTGCATCCTGCTAGTGATGTTGCCCTGGACATGACAGCAGCAGGCAGCTAAGGCTGTCCCTAGAGGCAGGATATTTCCCAAATTGTGGTATTTCAGGGCTGTTTCATCACCTGAATCACAAGGGTTTTATAGCCTTTCCAAAAAAATTTTCACTTCTTGGTTTTGTTTTGACCCTTGTTAATGGTAGTACTGGATTGTCTCGTAGCCCATAGTCTGCCAAATCCTTCTGACAGGCTTTCACTCTGGATGTGCGGTCATGGTGCTTATTGGCTGTAATGACCACCTTGCTGTTGAGAGGAAAGGCAGTAGCACAGTGCTCCTTTAGTCTGGCAGTGGTGGATATGGCTGAAGCCAGAGGCTCAAGCTGTAGCCATGCAGGTCAAATAGCAACCGAGGCACCTCTTGGAGTAGCTGTCTGGTATTGTGAGGGATTGCTTATCTCCTAATGTTATCTTATCTTGGCTGGAGGCTTTTCTGGAAATCCTGGAAAAGAGCACAGTTTATGAGGCTCTGTGCAGAATAACTGAGTGAAACGTGAAGGTGGGATTAGTTGGGGCAGAGATGATCTGTTAGTCTTGAATTTGGTGACTCTAATCTGAATTTTTCTTTCTTAAAGTACTGTTAGGAGAATCAAGGGAAGAAATGACACTGAAAGAACTTAAACCAAGTATTTTGAAGCGAAGAGTAGGTAAACAGTCTATTTTAACTTGCAGGTAGTTGTGCAGGTCTTGATGTAGGAGTCTTTCTGCAAAATCATCTCTTATGGGAGGCAGAGACCTAGCAAGGCTCTCTGTAGGATCCCTCAGAGAGCAGCCCTCAACAAAATTTTACCTGAGAAACATGTATGCTGAGCATTATTTTGGTGTAGGTGGCATGTATTGGATTTGAGATGTTACTTAATTGTAAACTGAAAATATGCACTACATGTGATAACAACAAGACTGTCAAAGGAAGCAGGAGGCTAGGAAGCTTCAATCCAAATGAGGCTGCCTCAGGGTAAGAGCAAACTATGAGAAGGAAGGTAAAACTGACTTATTTTTTTCATTGTTCTCTTATTTCAGGGTCTGCACTGTGATTTTGCTTGTCTAATGTTCCATTATTTAGTGAACAGACCGTCAGAAGAGCGAGTCCGTGAGATCATCATTAATGCTGTTGAAATTGAGCAGGTAAGTCTGACTATGACAGCATTATGGGCAGTGCAGGACCAATCTGATGTGTGAAAATAAATAAATTACTCTTCCAACTTTTGGGATTCCATATTTAATACTTGGCTTAGGCCTGAGTCCCTGATGCATCATACTATACTTTCCGTCTTCCTTAATGGTAACAGTAAGAGTCAGAGGCTTTCTGAACGTGAGCCAGCAGTGTGCCCAGCTGGCCAAGAATGCCAGTGGCATCCTGTCTTGTATCAGGAATACTGTGGCCAGCAGGACCAGGGCAGTTATTGTCCTCCTGTACTTGGTACTGGTGAGGCCACACTTTAAGACCTGTGTCCAGTTCTGGGTCTGTCACTTCAGGAAGGACACAGAGGTGCTGGAGTGGGCCCAGAGAAGGGCAACAAAGCTGGTGAAGGGTCTGGAGCACAAGTCCTGTGAGCAGTGGCTGAGGGAGCTGGGGGTGTTTAGCCTGGAGAAGAGCAGGCTCAGGGGAGACCTCATCACTCTCTACAACTGCCTGAAAGGAGGTTGTAGCCTGGTGGGGGTCAGTCTGTTCTCACAGGTGACCAGCAACCAGGACAAGAGGACATGGTCTTTAGCTGTGCCAGGGGATGTTTAGGACAGGAAGAAGAAATTCGTCGCAGAAAGGGTGATAAGACGTTGGAATGGGCTGCTCAGGGAGATGGTGGAGTCACTCTCCCAAGAGATGTTTAAGGAAAGACTGGACAGGGCACTCAGTGCCATAGTCTAGTTGACAGAGTGGTGTTTGGTCATAGGTTGGACTTGATGATCTCAGAGGTCTTTTCCAACCAAATTGATTCTGTGATTCTGTCATTCAGTTGTCAGGCAACTGGGAGAAGCTGAAGCTGGTAGCTGGTTTCTTCCCTAATGACAGTAGGGAAGAAAGAGTGTCTTATTTGATATTGAATAGAATAGTTCCAGTTGGAAGGAACCTACAAACAATTATGTAGTCCAACTGCAACTGTCTCTTAGAGAAGAGTTTGCTTATCTTGGGCCTTTAAGGATCTTTGTTTCTTCTGCTTGTCCTCGGGAAAAGGCAGGGTCTGTTCTGGCCATGCGTACCATGCTGGGTTTTAACTCCCTCTGAGACCGATGTCGAGTTCTTTCATGTGAAGTGCTACCCATCCGCAGATACAAGTTTCTGCACTGCTGAGTGTTTGGCAGGATTTTAGTTTGGTCTTTCTTTTCTGTTGTCATCTAACTACTGTGATGATGACAAATTCCCCAGCTTTATCTCAACAACACTGAGAGGTGCCTAAACACATACATGACTGGGTTCAGCTCACGCGTATATCACTACTTCTCTGATGTCTCATTCTGTAATGTCTGGAAGCCAAGGAAAACTGGTGATTTCTGGATCTATTCCTGGTCCCACTACTATGGTCTGTAGGTGTTATTGAAGTTAGAGCTTAAGCTTATACTGAAGCTTAAGCTGGGGGGGATGGGGAAAAGCAGATGAGAGGGCAGTAATAAAAATCCTTGTGCCTTTTCCAGAACAACATGCTAAAAATAAAGGAAGATACAAACAACTACTGAAAACAGAAGACACTTTTTGAATTTAGTGATGCAAGACAACTGCCTGGGGAGCCTGGGACATCATAAATTGTGTTACTGTGAAGCACAACTGTCTTCTCTCCTTTCTCTTCTTAAATTTCATTTATCTAAATGTCACCTGTATTTTAACTTCTAGGAGTTTCTGACAGAGGCATTACCTGTAGGTCTGATTGGAATGAATTGCACCTTGATGAAGCAATATATTGAATTTGTCGCAGACCGGTTACTAATGGAGCTCGGATTCTCAAAGGTAAGAGATGCAATTACCCCGAATGCTGGCCTGCCAGTGCAGCCCAGGAAAGCTCTCACCACAAAGCACTCTCTTATCATGCCTGGGAGCAGGTCATATTTAGCACATGGACTTTCTGTGGGTGACAGCTGAAACCATGGTATTAATATATCTGCTTCACTGTTTAAAAGAATAAGAACAGTTTAGGCCATTGTTTCTCTTCAGCTGCTTGGCAGGTTTGTAATGGAAAGAGTAAGCTGTGCTCAAGTGCTGCAGTCCTCAAAGAATAACAGGCAACTTGTACGGGTGAACTTCACCACAGACCAAACCCCTGGGAGTGGCAGTACTGAATTTGCTTAGATAGGTGTCCATAGATCCGACAGCATATTGCAGCAGGGATGGTCTAGTTTGAAGGGATTTGACTGTTTTGTTTGTTGGTTTTTTGTTTTTATTTTTAAAGCATTATTTCCTTATCAGAATCTGCACTGTAGTAGTTTTTTCCTTCCCCAGGTCTTTCATGCAGAAAATCCTTTTGATTTCATGGAGAATATTTCTCTGGAAGGAAAAACAAATTTCTTTGAGAAGCGCGTTTCGGAATATCAACGTTTTGCTGTTATGGCAGAAACAATGGACAATGTCTTCACTCTGGATGCAGATTTTTGATAAATAAATAGTGACTGCTTCCTGCTCCTCGTTTCCCTTTCTACTGTGAAGTTGACTTAATTTCATCTCCTGGAATCAGAGTCTACTGGGATTTTTTTTTCTGGGTTTTTGTGTTGTTTGTCAGAGGAGTAAATATATTTCTCTCTGTGTCATTTGAAAAAAAAAAAGGAGGGGGATAATTTTTAAAAAATTTATATGGCTTTGTAAAAAGATGGCCTTTTTAAGATTCCCCTGATCATCTGCTGTCATTGCTGTCTTTAAAAATTACCTGGATACTACTACTTTTTTAAGACTTTGGTAGTGTTTTAAGAAAGCAAACTGCATATTTACCTCATGTTATGGTATTTTAATCTGAAAACCAGGTGAGGTATCACTCTGTATAAATGTTGCAATAAATTATTTTCATGTTTATAGATTTGGTCTTGAGTAAAAGCTCTTCCCTTTCATCCTGCTGCAGATAAAGTAATAATTGAATGGGGGAAGACATTATTCAGGTCGGAACTATAAACCCAGGAATAAAGTTTGATCTCCCCTCTAACTTGGGTTTTGTCTGAAAACAGTTTTACTCTGGTTGAAAAGGTGATGGCTCTTGGTAAGTGTTTAATTCAAATACATGCAAAATTTGTCTTACAGCTGTTAGAGCAAGTCAGTGGACTTTGAATGATCCTTGAAAAGGCATACCTATTAACAGAGGAGAAAAACCACATCCTGTAGTTCTTTGGCTTGTGCAGTCTGTTTTTCCCTGCTTCACTGATTAAGTGCCTTATTAAGCAGTCTGTAGTTGTGCTGAGTTGTAATCGGCATCTGACACTGGAACAGCCACCTCTGGGTGTTGTCTATCTTTCTCTGACATGCTGGGGGAAACCTCGGTTTCACTTGTGCATTGATGGGGTGAGAAGACATATCCTTCCAAGGGATTTTCCCTTGAGGTGCTACAAACATACTGCTTGGGCAGTAAGGAAGCACCAATAGTGTATGAAGGTAAACCAAGTTGTGGGTTTAATGTGAATCATTAGAACTGTTGTCACCAAAGAAGAAGGTATTAAACCTTTCAAAAACAATCCTTGAAGTAGTATGGATTAGCAGTATTTTACGAAGGACTGTTGTTTGGTTTTTGGTGTGTTCCAGTGTGTGCCTGAAAGCTGTTTGTAATTTTTTAACATCACATGCAGAGAATGGAGCAACTGAAGAATGGCTCACGTGCTGCAGTGATACTTGGGGTGGAAGGAATACTATTCAGTTGTAGATGGTTTATCTGTGAATAGACACGTTCATTTCTTTTCAAAGGTGAAGTGAGTGTTTACACAAGCTAGACAAAGGATTCTGCTTTATTAAACCCAAGAGTTTTTCGTAATGTTCAGCATTTTGTGCGAGAGCTTTTATAAGTCTTATCATTGCAAACATCTTTTGCTGCTTTCGATAGGCCTGGCATGAGGTGAGCTGACAGCCCAGGGTTATCGGTGATGGGATGGTCTAAGTGTTATTTCCCTGTCAGCCCACATCAGCCATAGCCCTGTGTACCTGAGTTTCATAAACAGGTTCACTGCCTTAGCATAGTTCTTAGTGAACAATTGTCCCTGCTGTAAAAATAAGCAGTAAAACTGACTCCGTTTGGTCTCTGTAAAAGATCAGGAGGATATACTGATCGTGGAAATGGGACAGCTTTTTTTTTCCTAGAGAGGAGCCTGCATCATTTGACATAAGCTACTTGGAGGAGGGCAGAGGGCAGCCTGGACAATACAGAGAAAAGATGGAACCAGTGGCCCTAACTAATGTCCTGCAGCTGCAAGAGAACTGTGGACTCAGAGAGGAAAATCAAGCGCCTTTTGGAAATATTGTGTGGATAGGGAGAAAGAGAAAATATTGTAAATGGGTCTGTTGTTGAGTAATGGAACCTGTTATGTCACTGAACATACTAAAAAGCATTTGTTTTGAGTGTTGTTAATTAAGATGAGAGTATAGAGAGTATTCAAATATGAAACTGCAATGTCCTCAGGTTCTGTAAATGTATATGAGATACCAAAGTCTGGTACAACAGCTCCCACTCAAATTGTGTGTAAAATATGTGTATAGTTTCAATAAAATGTGAGCGTGGAGAGAACCGTGCCTTTATTTACAAGTTTCATGCTTCCTTGTGAAATCCAAAAATAGAATTGGGCTGTGACAGTCGGTATTCACACCTTTTGGGTTGTGGGAGAAAGTTATGAGTGCTCCATACATTGTCTTGTGGTTTGAGAGCTCTTGACTTGCTATTTCTTGTTTCTGGGAATGGGGTTTGCAGTCCAGAGAGAAAACAGATGTTTTGAGTTGGGTTTTTTTGTTTGTTTGGTTGGTTTTTTGTTTGTTTGTTTGTTTGTTTTTCCTGAAATTTTTTGTCTCAAGGAGAAATCTCCTAGGAGTCCCTAAGATTCAAAGAAGAAAGATTGCTAAAATATATTTTGAGTGGGTGGCCCCTGATATATCAAGGGCATCATGCCCTCGGGGCAGGCACCCTTACTGCCTGGGCACAGCATTGCAGGGTTCAGCCCCCTGAGCTGGGGCTGGCTAGGCACCCAGCACTGGGCAGCTGGGGCTGAGCTGTCAGAGCTTCACACCTGCTGGTATTGGTGCCCTCAAGACTGTCAGGTCAAAAGTGCCTCCTTTGGAGGCACGAAGGGCACAAGATCCCTTCCTCTCCCACTAGTGGGAGAGAGTCTGGAGAGCTGGGTCTTGGACAGAAACCTAATGTGCCTGTGAGGGCTCTGGTGGACAAGGTGGGTCTGGCTCTGTGTGTCTGGCTCATGCTGTGGCCATCGCAGTCAAAAAAGCCTGATGGGGGTGTGTGAGGGAAGTTGTGATTTGTCGCTTCAGTATATGTGGTCTGTGTGCTCTGGGTTGGAGTAAGACTGGTGTGTGACTTCCATTATAGTCAGCGGGACAAAGAAGGTGCTTCTGGAGGGGTTGTCTCACGGTGAAGAACATATCTGCGATGGTCAGATGAGCAGAAACCTGTCTGGGGGCTACAATAGGAGCCAAGGCTCATGGGTACAGTCACACCTTTTAAATTCCAATTTAAACAAGAGGCCATTTGACTTGATTGTCAGTAGCCACAAGCCGACAGTGTGCTCCCAGCCCTGCACTCCGGCCATGAAAGCACTGTGGAGTGCGGTAGGTCAGTGACTACTCCCAGACCTTGCTGGAAAAGGAAAGAAAGTGTGTGAAAGCAGGGCAATTAGCAACCTCTTTCTTAGTGTTTCTGGTTTGGTAAAGATTTTAGCAGCAGATGAGGATACTGTGTGCGTGGCAGCACCCTTGGATCTGTGGCCAGCCCCTGGCCGGTTGACACTGTGCTAACCCACTTCTGCCACATTTCTCATCCTTGTCTTTGAATGATGAAAGCTTTGAAAGGGAAGTGTGGCCTCCCTGCCAGTCACTCCCCCCAGCCTGCTGGAGGAGCATCTTCCTTTAAGCCTTTCCTAGGGGATGATCCGAACTGTTTTTTCCTCCTGGTGGAGCCCTTGAGTCAGCAAATATTAATGTTTCTGTCGCTATATTAGGTAGAGCTCCTTTTGGGAGTCAGTCGCCAGAGATGCTGATGTGTTAATATTATCTGTGCCGAGTATGTGTTTGCCAGGAGGATGCTTGTGTGCCTGGGGACCACTGTTTGCACTGCACTGAGCAGAAATACACATGTGCAGGTACAAACCATGTATGTGCATACGGGTGTGCATGTCTGGCACACAGAGATGTGTGTACACACGACATGTACGCAGCAACAGAGTCGAGGAGAGAAGCTGTTGAACGTCAGGTTTTAGCAAACCCTCTCCCTAAAGCAGAAGGGCAAGATGGGCACTCTAATATTGCTATTATGAGATGGTATTCCTGGTTTGCCTGCAGATGCCTGCCTTGCCCTGCTCCTCACTACTTGGGCACAGATGATGGCAGCAGCACAGCCAGAGACTTCTCTCACCACAGCACGTGTAATCTGGCTCTATAAACCAAGCCCTGAGGATAGAACTGTGCTCTGCTAACCGAAATCTTAAGCTAAAGTTTTTTGAACTTTAAATGAAGGTAAAATGAATGGTTGTTTTTGGCCAGTGTGGAGCACACATGCCTGCTTTCAACAGTAGCTTTGGTATTTGGCTGTGTGAGTGTAGTCACATGGACCGGCTCAGGAATTCCCTGTTGAATTTTGATCCTTCCATTGAAATAAGAGCATTTGTGAGTGACAGGCATGAGATTTCTATGACAGGCAGCAGTGCTGCCAATATCGCACTGGAGTGCTGCTGACCAGGGGCTCCTGCCCTGCAGATCCTTCTTCACAAATTTGCTTGAAGGATATACATGGGAAAAGTCCTTCCCCAGGACTCCCGCTGCTTTGCCAGCACCATTCATCACTGCATGGGCTCTAGTGTGGCTGCTGATGGGTTCACAAATCCACATCTTCAATCCCTTTTGTTGCTGTAGTCCACAGTTTGGTTAATGTTACTCTGGGAATGGCCTCACATAACTGCTGCAGCATCTCTAGTAAGCTTGTAATGGCATTAGGAGAACTGCCACAGTGAGCTGCGTGGACCAGCCTGGCATCAAGGGTGAGGTGTTGACTCCTGCCATGGGGACAGGCCATCTTCGGGCTTTGGTAGTGCCTGTTCCTTCAGTGAGTGTCTCTGTGCAGAGGCAAGAGGAGGTCCTCACCAGCAGATACTGCTCTCACTGAGCCCTGTGTGCAGGACCAGTGCCTGAGGAAAGGCCTGCAGCAAAGCACGGGGCTGACAAACTGGGGACAGGTGCTGATAAGAACCACGTTTGCTGGCTCCAGCCTGGGCTCAGAGCAGGCTGCATGCTCATGTGGCTGGTGTGATTTCTTCAAGCCTCTCAAACAAGGTCTTGTTGCAGCTCATCCCTAAGTCACTCCTTTTTAGCGAGGAGGCTCCCAAAGTCACACTGGAGGCTCTGGGTAGACAGCAGAGTAGTTGGTGAAATTTTTTTTTTCTTGTCGATTGGCAGATCCAGGAGAAATGTTAAGAACAAGTCTTAACATCCAAGTAAGTTTTACTGATCTGATGAAAGTCTCTGGCACTGCAGTCTAAGCTGAACTTGAGAGTTACAGGGAAAGTCTGTCTCCCCATCACTGTTCCCTAGCCCACAGATGTGTTTATAGAAGAGATTATACTCAGGTTTTTTTATGAGGACATGCAAGAATCCTTTCCCCAACCAGTGGCCTTAGTATGCAGGAGGTTGTCCAGGCTCTCCACCTGTGCTATGTCTGCAGGTCTGTTACCAAACAGCCTGTCCAGGCCCATTGTGTGCTGATGGTGGTCACCGTCAGTGGCCTCTGCCATGGGAGTTCTCCAGAGTGGATTGGGTTGTTTGCTGCTTCACAGGCAGCTTTGAATGCAGATTGAGGTGGCACGTCTGTCAACTCCTGGGAAACTGGGACCACCCAGGGAAGGGCTGGGGGATCCTGAAAGCAGTGACATGCTTTGAGTGGGAAAAGTATGACAGGCAAAAGATGTTCTGGTGACAGTGAGAGTGGCAGCTGGTTCACTCCTCTTTGCCAGCAGTTGTGTGACAAAAATGATCATCATACACAGACTCATATGGTCACTTATGTCCTGCAAAAGCCCCATCACCCCAATTCTGGGGAAATGAACCCGATGGTGAGTAGCACAAATATTGGCTAATAAATATCTAATAATAGTGCTGAATAGTAACACCAGTGCTACCATCTGCTCTCTTGGAAGTCAAAGCAGAAGCAGCTTTGGGGGCCTGGAAAATCACAAGTGCTGGGAAGATTTACTGCTAGCATGCAAGACAAGGAGCCCAGAGCAGACCTGAGGAGGCCTGAGGCCGGAGAGTTTCAGTCCCACCATGGCTGTTGCCACTCTGACCTTGGTAGTATCAATGCAAAGCACCAAAATCCCTCTGCTCTGAGCTACAGCCCCCATCAGCGGAGAGATGTTCCCCAAAACAGGGCCTGTGCATGTGGGCAAGCCTGGGCAGAGGCAGGTCACAGAAGGCTTAGATCTCTTTGATCTAAGTGTGCAAGTTTCAAGCTGGCTTCCCGCCAAATCCCCAAAACTTGACAACAAGGACTTGCTTCCCAGAGAGGGAAGAAAAAAAAACCACAACGACTTAAGCAGCCAAAGCTATAGCAAAAAATATATATATTTTACATATAAGACAGATATATACAATGAGAATATTATATACTATAACTCCGGAAATCCTAAATAGCTCCCTAAAAGGGAAGAGGGGGAGGGAGAAGGGAAAAGGACAAAATAGGACAAAAAGGACAAAACCCAAACAAGTCTACACAATCTAAAAACCCAGTAACCAGCAAACTGAAGAACTAGCCAAAATCTCACCACTTCCCTTGATGAGAAGCAGGATGGCTGGACACGGCCCAGCGCTCTCCCCTCACGGGTGGCAGATAACAGCAGTCGCTGCAGGCCTCAGCTCCAGATAAGCCAGACTGAGACAGGGACCCACCGTTCTCGAACCTCGCCAGAAAGGAAGAGAGCGAGATCCCTCCCGCTGGCTTTATTTATACCTCAAGTTACGTAAAGGAATAGCACGGAATACTTCCGTGATCACCTTCCTAGTTCCTTCCTGGTTACAAGCTGGTCTCCAGGAAGGCCTAGAGTGAAACCATCATAGATAGGATAATTTACAGCTTTGAAAAAAATATAATTTTCTACCAAACTGAATGTTCCATTACTAGGTCTCTAAGCATTTAAAAGCATTTTTATGAGACTTTACTGGTTTATTTGCTCCTGTATTAACTTTTTCTGAGCACAGGCTTGCTTTGTTCCTCATAGCATGGAGCAGGACTTGGGGTGTCCCTTGGGAGCAGCTGTGGGACAACTCCTTCAGACCAGAGCTGTGTCTAAGGACATCTAGAGCACCTTCTGATGCATGGAAACTCTCCCAACACCTTCCTATCTCTCAGACTTCTCAGCTCTGCAGGTGGGAGGAAATCTGGGTTGTTGGGACTGTAGGGAGAATGGGCATTAAATAAAGGCTGCAGGAAAGCAGGAGGGTTTCTTTGAAATTTATCTCAGCTGGTGAGTTCCTTTTCTCTAGCTAGCTGTGGAAAAGAGTTTTCATTAATGAATTTAAGCCAGGTTAGT